CCGCGGTGCCGCCCCGCCCCGCAGCCCCAGTGGGTCGGGGCTCCATCAGCTAGTTGTGCTAGTATAAAAGTCTTGGAGCTAACCCTTACCAATCCATAAGCGACCAAAAATTCTATTGAGAACAACCAGATACAACTAGTAACAAATGAAAAGCCCCTGATAGAATATATTAGATTTGTGAGCAAAGAGCGTATAGTGAATTACCTTAAATGTGGAAAGGAATCTGTACCTTAGGAGTTATACAACCCTCCTTCTTCATTCTACCGAGGTCCAGGAGCAATATGTTATCTATTGAATCAGTTCATAAGACTACAAGCAGTAGTTAACATTGTTTCAAACCATACCTCTACTGCCCTAAAGTTGCTGGCCAAGCACCATTCACAAATGCGAGCATGAGTAGATCAAAACAGAATGGCCATGGACTATCTGTTAACTGAAGAAGGGGGACTTTGTAGGTTTAACGAATCTGAATGTTGTGTGGAAATAAATGATCATGAAGAAGCCATCACGAAAATTGCTGAAGAAATCAAGAGTAGCACATGTACCAGTTCAAAAATGGAATTCTATTCTGAAGACTGATTGGTGAGATAACCTTTTTAAAGTACTTAGTGAAAAAAGTTAAAATTTATGATATTGTGTTTTACATTAAGATTATTGTTTCTACCTTGTATGAGTCTATGCCTTATTAGACTAATCCATTCAGTAATTCAAGGAATACTGAACGAAAAGTAATTATAATAGCTCAAAAAAATGTTAACCAAATTTGAGAGTGCAAAAAACTTGATGCAGCACAAGAAATGTTAAAAAAATTGGAAATAAAGTGAATGTAAAAAACCAGATTATTGAGAATATAAAAAAATACTAAGATTCAAGTTGTTTTTTTTTAAAAGCATGAATCAATGTGATCAAAAAGAGAAATGGGGAATTGTAGTAAATGGAATTGATTTGTGCTAACTAAATAGTAACTGTTAATAAAGTTATTATTAGAAGCAATCAAAAGAATCAGTGTTACAAGGCAGATGCACCCCTTTACAGATGTTACATGTTAAAATTGAAGTACAGGATGTAGTTTGGAAGATAAATGATGTCCCAAGATGAAAATGGCCTTGAGATGGACAAAATTAGAATGACTTTAGGCATTGAGCCTAAAAATCAGTTAATATAAGACTAATTAGTAGAGTAACATAACACAACACTTAGTAAGCACGTGCAAACCTATAAGGTTATCCAAAGGACAACAAGGAAGAGGAGAGGCCTTTGCCAAAAGACCACCAAAAGAAGACTGGAGACCCCGTAACGACAAGTGAGGCCTGTGCCATGAAGAATAGTGACGCAAATCAGAAATAGCAGGAAACTTACAGGAAACAATGAATACATATTAATGAATGTGTATAAGCATACAGTATATAAGTTTAAAGTACTTTGTTTTGTATATGAGCCAGGGTAAGAAACCCCCTCCATACCCTAGGTGGTTTTGTACATGAGGTGGGGTAACAAGCCCTCCCCGTACCCCGGTTGGTTTTGCTTATGCTTTAATCATACTTAATTACTAGCAGATTATATATATATATATAAATTGTAATTTTTTGCTAAATTATATTCTTTTACTAAAGAATATTATTGGTATTCGTTTATACCAAATTACTACTCAATTTACTAAATTGTATTCATTTTTAATTAAGCTGCCCAAGGGACTTAGTTGTCAAAATTCTAATTTCATTTATAACAAGGGGATTCACAGATCTCATCCTGCTGGAAGGATGAGGAAAAGGGAGTGGGAACTCAGCAGTGAGGACAGCTGAGGGCTAGAGAGCAGCTCTGAATGACACTAAAATCCCACTGGACCTTTGAAACATTGCTGTTCTTTAGCCAGTGATGACAGGGTGAGTCCCTGAGCCTGGGGCTTGGCCTTCCTCATGGTGAGGGGCATCAGGGAAGGCTGCAGTGTGATGGAGATTGTGATGGGCTGGGAACTCACTGGGGGAAAGGAGGGAACAGTTGTGAAGTAAAAGGCAGGTGGGGGAGAGAACTGTTCAGAGAAGGGCTGAGCTACAGCTTGAGCAAGATGAAAAATGTCATTTGGGGTCATCCCAGACTGATTTCATTTCAGAAGTTATTGAACAAGTTTATTTTTGGGGGATGTCATGTTTTCCCATGGAGCTGGACACTGTGCAGACTTGAGCTGCACTGCCGAAATGCTCAAGTCTCTGCTAGAGGTCACACTGTTTCTTCTTTGGCTGATCCCAGCCCGGTGCTGAGCCCAGCAGAGCCCTGGCAGAGCCCAGAGCAGCCTCAGCATCCGCAGAGCCCGGCTGCAAGGAGAGAAACCAGAAACCGCCCGTCAGCTGAAGACTCCTGTCCCCTTGTCCCAGCCACCCATGGTGCCCAGGCCATACTGGCCGTGCTCAGAGCTGGGTCCAAAGCTGCCCATCACTGCTGCCTTTGGCAGCAGAGCAGGAGGGCAGGACATGTGCCCAGCCTGCAGCCAGCCACGGCAGATCCAGCCCCTCAGCAGCTGCCCAGAGCGGGATGCTCCTGTGCCCGCTGCCATCTCCCAAAAGCTCTTGTCCCAGCCATGCCAAGGAGATGAGGACCCACTGTAGAGGAATGGTTAGAGAGCAAAGGTCATATTCTCATGCAGCAGTTAGCTGGGAGAGAATTAGACAATGGAGTACAGGTGGTGTGAGATGTTGCAAAGTCAGGAAGACCTGAGTGGTAACTGTTAACTGAGAACAGGATGCTGTGATCAGAAGAGTGTGAATTCAGCATAGATGAGCGATCACAGGAATGTGGAATTAGGTGGAGTTGACCTTAAATGAAATATCCAATAATGAGCTTGCTTTTGCACTATGTACGAGCCTAATTATTGATGCTATATAAGTGGTTTTAGAGTTACCAGTAAATGAGACTTGCTGATCATTCATATTGAGTGCTGCATTTTCTCCCGCCGAACTCGTCAAATGGCACCCGAACAACAGGGACCTTTGGGACCTTTGGGACCCTAGAGACCTTTGGGACCTTTGGAACCTTAAAAAGGAGTCGGAGTTGGCCAAGGGAGTCGGCAACAGGGGACGGGTCCTTTGCAGCAAGGACGGCGAAAAGCAACAGCTATGCCATGTTCCAGGCAACCTCACAGGAGAGTCCTGATCACACAGCAATGGTGCCGCGCCCCAGGCGACCTCAGAGGAGAGTCCTGCCGTAACGTGCTGCTGAAACCTTGTAGGGGCTGCAACAGCGCTGACGGTAAGATGGAAAGGTAAGCAGCATTTTTTACCTGCTTTTTAGAAAAGCGACAGGTTAAAGATTTTGATTTGCGCAAGGAGCTTCCTGGACTTCTTGCTTATGGGTATGCTCAGGATTGTTTTCAGAATCCCCATACAGTCCATGAATTAAGTGAGTGGCGAAAATTTGGAGATAAATTGTGGGAAGCTACTTTAGATGATGATAAAACTGCTAAAAAATTGGGAAAACTGTGGCGGACAGTTCATAATGGAAAACTGTGGCGGACAGTTCATAATGTTCTTTTGCAGTATCAGGCTGAACAGGCAGCTGCCACACAGGCATCTGCAGCTATGTCAAAAAACAGATTATTAGAGGGAATTAATGAGTGTCCACTGCCACCCGCCACGAATACAGTAATTTTGATCCCCCCCACGCAGTCACTGACCCCTGCTGCAGCTGCTAATTCTTTTGTGTTGTCTCAAATTCCTTCACCTACTACCCTTGATTCTGGAACGGAGCCTTCGGCACTGTTACCATCCTCCCCTATGGGAAATAAATCTGTCTCTGGGGTAGGGCGTGAGTTAGGTGAGGCTATTGCACGGGAAAGAAGGGAGACATGGGCTACGTTGGCACGGAATATTTTGCAAGAGGGAGATCAGGAAATAGCAGATGTACTGGAAGTAGCATGTCCTGTAACCTTTGCACTGATGCAAGGGGGAGGAATACAAGCTCAAATTACAGCTTTAGATTGGAAATGGTTATCACAGTTGAGATCTACAGTCAGTCAGTTTGGAGTGACCAGTGAACCGGTTAGACAGATGATTAATTATTTGTGGGGTACACAGATTTTGTTGCCTGCAGATTGTAAGAGTATTATGAAATTGATTCTTAGTCAGCATCAGCAGTTGTTTAATGCACACTGGCAAGCTTATTGTCAAGAAAGTGTAAATGTGCAAAGACAGGCAGGTGATCCACTGCATGGGCTAACTTTGGAAGAACTTATGGGATTAGGAGCATATAGTCAAGTGGAAGCACAAGCTATTTTGGGACCAGATAAATTGAGAGAAGGAATGCGGTTAGTGTGAGCTGTGTTTGATCGGATTAAGGAGCCAGGAGGTATTCCATCTTATATGGGTATTAAACAAGGGTGAGATGAGCCATTTGGAGCATTTATTGATAAAGCAGCTACAGCTATAGAACGAGCAGGTGTTCCTGAATATATGAGGGGAGCATTATTAAAACAATGTGCATTACAAAATTGTAATCCAGCAACCAGGTCAGTTTTAAATTCCCTAAATGCTAACTGGACTATTGAAGAGGCATTAGAGAGGATGTCTAATATACCAGTGGGCTCACAGGCAATGTTAGTCCAGGCAATTAAAGAACTACGGCAAGGGTTAGAAAAGCAGGCTGCATCTAATCAGAGTCAGGTTTTAGCAGCTCTTGCACCCCTACAAGCGGCTACAACCAACAATGGCAGGATTCCAGCCTCCCGATTCAAATGTTTTAGCTGTGGCAACCTTGGACATATTCGGAAGGAATGTACTGTACCATCTGTTTGGTGCAATCAGTGTCGGTCCAATACCCACACTGATAGTGTTTGCCGCCGGAGATCGGGAAACGGGAAGGTCAGCGCGAGAAGCCGCCGCACCAGGACACAAATAGCAGCTGCCGGAACATCAGTGCAACTTCCCTCCAACCTGCCACAGCAGGGAGCCTCGGCCTGGACCTGGCAGCCTCAATGACTGTGGATTTATTGACATCACAGCCCTACAAGATTCCCACAGGAATTATTGGACCACTGATAATAAATGGAAAAGCTATGGGTGCAATAGTGTTGGGACGTTCATCTGCTAGTTTAATGGGACTGTTTATTTTACCTTGAATAATTGATGTGGACTATTCTGGTGAAATATATATCATGGCATATACACTGGCACCACCAGCCAGAATTGATAAGGGACAGCAAATTGCACAATTGGTGCCGCTGCCACAATATACCCATCAATTGACACCATAGAAAAATCAATCATGGGGTACGGGTGGATTTGGTTCTACAGGAGGACTTATATTACTTACTCTGGACTGAAACACTCGACCCAAGTGAACAGTTGTTCTCAATTATAACAGAGAATCCCACCAATTAGAAGGACTATTGGAATTATAATGGAGAATCCCACCAATTAGAAGGACTATTGGATACTGGGGCAGACTCAAGTATTGTTGCTCCACAATATTGGCCCCAGGAATGGCCTATGTTGCCTAGTATGGTTACTGTTACAGAGGTGGGAGGCTTAACTTTAGCAAAAAGGTCTCCACAAATCCAGCTTCAATTAGATGGGAAGGTCATCAGCTCTATTTTGTCAATTGTTCCATTACCAGACAAGGTTCAATGTCTAATTGGACGAGATATTTCATCACAACTTGGCGTTATTTTGACCAATGAGCACCCTTTAGAATAGAGGCCATTCTTTGGACTTTCCCACTCCCACTTAAATGGATAATTCAGGAACCAGTATGGGTTGAACAGTGGCCTTTAAAAAGGGAAAGTCTGCAACAAGCTCATCAATTAGTGCTGGAACAATATCAACAAGGACATTTAAAGTTGTCAACAAGTCCTTGGAATACTCCTATTTTTGTTATTAAAAAGAAATCTGGGAAATATCGATTGCTGCATGACTTACATACAGTAAATGAACAAATGGAGCCAATGGGGGCACTACAACCTGCTTTGCCCAATCCTGCAATGCTACCAAAAGATTGGCCCTTGTTAATAATTGATTTAAAGGACTGTTTTTTCACTATCTCACTGCATGAACAGGACACTTGCAGATTTGCTTTTACCTTGCCTTCATTAAATAGAGCAGAACCAGACAAGAGATTTGAACGGACAGTTTTACCACAGGGTATGCATAATTCTCCTACCTTGTGCCAGCTTGATGTTGATAATACTTTGCAGCCACTACGTGTTCGATGGCCTACAACTATTATTTATCATTATATGGACAACATTCTTTTTGCTCAGTCACAACCTTTTGCAGATAAACAAGTTAAGGACATTCAAACACAACTACTTCAGAATGGACTGGTTGTTGCACCTGAGAAAATACAGCTGTCATCCCCATGGAAATATCTCGGGTGGACTTTAACTGAGCAGTATGTTGCCCCTCAGAAACTGTCATTGAACATGTCACTTCATACTGTTCATGATGCTCAGCGATTGCTAGGAGATTTACAATGTATTAAACCTGTTGTGGGTATTCCTAATGAACTTTTACAATCCTTACAACCTTTGTTAAAAGGTACTGATCCTACAGCACCTATACAGGTCACCAGTGAACAAGAAGCTCTCAATAAAATAATGGGCTGTATCCAGACAGGTGTTGTTCGTAGGCGAGATCCAGACTTGGACATTAATCTTACTGTATGGTTTGGATCTCAACATCTCATTGGTGCCCTGACACAGCAACAAAAGAAAACAGGGGAAATATGGGTATTAGAGTGGTTGTTGCCACCACTACAACAGAGACATACCTTAATTCAAAAAATTGAAATTTTAGCAAATTTGATAAAACAAGGGCGGAAGCGATTGTGGCAAATTATAGGTGCAGATCCAGCTGAAATTCAGATACCAGTAAAAAAGGACACTTTAGACTGGTATTTAATTCACAGCTCCATATTGCAAGAAGCATTTCTTGACAACAGCAGTGTAGTCAGTACTGAGGAAGTGCCTCGAATACCACTACGATGGATAGGTCAGCAGAATTGGATTGAAAAGCCCAAACGATCATTTGTGCCATTAGCAGGAGCATCAACTGTGTTCACTGATGCTGGAAAGAAATCTCGTACAGCTGCTGCTACATGGCAAAATTCAGAAGGACAATGGAATCATCATATTATTCCAGCTCGAAAGGAGGACACATTACAAACTCTGGAATTAGTTGCTGTTGTTTGGGTTTTGGTGCAGTTTAAGGGTCTTGTTAATGTGGTAACTGATTCTTTATATGTTGCAGGAGTGAGTGAACATATTGAAAATGCAGACATTAAGGAAGTAAAAAATCCTCGTTTATATGAACTGTTTTTGCAACTTCAAAGAGCAGTGAAGTTGAGGACTGCTGCCTTTGCTATTATCCATATTCGTAGCCACAAATGGGATGTGGGTTTAGGAGAAGGAAATGCTAGGGCAGATCGATTGGTTTCATTGTCACAAAATAGTCCTGTCCCACCACAGACATTAGCTAGAGAAGCTCATGCCATCTTTCATCAAAATGCAAAAGGTCTCCATCAGGAGTTTCAGATACCTTTAGAGGAGGCTCGGGCTATTGTCAAAGCATGTCCTATTTGTAGTTTTCATAATCAAGGCAGTGGATTGGGTCTTGGGGTAAACCCTAGAGGACTACAGGCTAATGAATTGTGGCAAATGGATATTACCAATGTTGCAGAATTTGGGAGAGTTAAGTATGTACATGTCACCATCGATACTTATAGTCATTACATCTGGGCCACAGCTCAATCTGGTGAGAAAGCATGGAATGTTGAGCGACATTTAGTAAGTTGTTTTGCAGCCATGGGAGTTCCACGTTCTATTAAAACAGACAATGGACCTGCTTATTGTAGTAGTAGAATTAAGCAGGTGATGCAATCATGGGGAATCAAACACATAACAGGGATTCCACATTCCCCCACAAGTCAGGCAATAGTAGAACGAGCTAATGGTACCTTAAAGCAATATCTGAACAAATTTAGGGAGATCAAAGATCCACAAGAACGATTATTGCATTGTTTATTTGTTTTAAATTTTCTGTGTATTTTTGGAAACAGTAATTTGCCTGCAGGAATACGTCATAGTGCACCTGAAGCAGAGAAAACTCGAAGTCCAATATGGGTTTGCTATAAGGATCCAAAAATGGGTCTGTGGGGAGGTCCCAGCAAGGTACTGTATTGGGGATGTGGTTATCTTTGTGTGCCTACCCCCACAGGGTCTGTCTGGGTGCCGAGCCGATGGACTAAACCTGCTGATCCCAGTAATTCACCTTCAGCTGATCCAGAAAATTTAGCAGATACTTCTCGCTCTCTACCATCAACATAGAGATGGGATCTGATGAACTCTCACATGAAAATCTTGTGTACAGTACCAAATTGTGAATGTTACATTTGTGATTTTTGCTTTTGGGATAAATCCAGAAAATTATTGTTATCATCCTAATACCCCTTTACCATATATTATTGAAATAACCACAATACGTTGTCGCAAGACACTGACACAGGTGAGGTGTGATATCCCAGGGGTACAAAAATAAAAATTGGGAGCAATTCTTAAAACGGCAGTCTCAAGAAAAGGGGTCTTTCCCTGAAAGTTATCCCTGCTGCCGAGAAGATGGAACACCCTGTGGTTCGAAGCAACCAAATCAACGGGCGAGGCAGAGGGGTAAAAGAAAAAGGAAGCAAGATCTCACATGGGCTCCAGCCAAGATGCTGGTTGAACTGCCACAGTCCTTTTAAAGTCCTTAAAGGACTATCTCTGATCAGGTCATTGTTGTGGTTTACCATGATAAAGGGAAATGAAGGGTTTTTGATTGACATGGATGAGAGACAAAATATGTGGGTAACGTGGGCTAATCAAACTGGACAGGATAATACTTGCCTTTCAATGGCTACCCCTTTGGATCCTTTTCGAACTTGTTTAGTGGGCGCACCTTTAGATGATTCACTCAATGCCACAATGTTTAAAAACTGGACAAAGAATTGGAAAACACCCAAGGAAGCAAACAAAACATTATGTGAAATTCCATCAGGTAAATTCATGATCAATATCTGTGACACAGGTTTAATTCCAGCAAATCCCATTGGTGCTCAAAATTGGTACATTGCTACAGGTTTAAATGTTACTGTGTCAGAACCACAAGGGTTAAGACTGTTAGGTTCAGCCCCTAGCAATTACTGTTTAACTTCTGTCAATTGGGCTAGGAGCAATCATGCAAAAAAGTCTCATGGGCCAAATGGTACAAATGTTTCTCCAGCAAATTTGCTATATTTGCAAAATAATGATGCATACTGTGGCGATTGGTCTTGTAAAGTAAATTCTAGCAGTACACCTCTACAATTACCACCTGGTATTTTTCTAATCTGTGGAGATCGTGCATGGCAAGGATTGCCAGCAAACATTTATGGAGGGCCTTGTTATTTTGGGAAATTGACATTGTTTGCACCCACTATACAGCAACTATTAGGAGCCAATAGAACCAGGTTATGAACAAAGAGAAGTGTGTTTCAATTGGGACCAGAATGCAAAGATTAGGTTGAACTTTGGGAATGTCCTACAGTAATTGTGTCATCTATTTTTACACCTGGAGTATCTAGTGCTCAAGCCTTAACACAGTTACGACGACTGGCATGTTGGACAGGAAAACAGTTTAACATTACATCAAAGGTTTTGTCTGATTTGCTTTTGGATATGAACAGTGTTAGGCATGCTGTACTGCAGAATAGAGCTGCTATTGATTTTTTGCTATTAGCACAGGGCCATGGCTGTGAAGACTTTGATGGGATGTGTTGCATGAATCTTTCTGACCATTCAGTGTCTATTTATGCTCGTCTTCAACAACTACAGAGCAATATGAAAAAATTAACCATGGAAACAAATCCATTAGAGGAATTGTTTCAATCCCTAGGTCTCACAGGATGGTTAAAAAAATTTGGCACAAATGGCAATTGTTGTTCTATTGATCATTGTGATTGTGCTACTGTTTATTCCTTGCATACTGCAATGCTTGCAAAATATGGTAAAGAAGGCTACTTCTACAGTTTTGTTAGTACAAAAAGAAAACAGGGGAACTGTAGAGGAATGGCTAGAGAGCAAAGGTCATATTCCCATGCAGCAGTTAGCTGGGAGAGAATTAGACAATAGAGTACAGGTGGTGTGAGATGTTGCAAAGTCAGGAAGACTTGAGTGGTAACTGTTAACTGAGAACAGGATGCTGTGATCAGAAGAATGTGAATTCAGCATAGATGAGCGATCACAGGAATGTGGAATTAGGTGGAGTTGACCTTAAATGAAATATCCAATAATGAGCTTGCTTTTGCACTATGCACGAGCCTAATTATTGATGCTATATAAGTGGTTTTAGAGTTACCAATAAATGAGACTTGCTGATCATTCATATTGAGTGCTGCATTTTCTCCCGCCGAACTTGTCAACCCACCTCACACCATCCACTGCCAGAAGAAAAGCTGGTCCCAAATGATGTCCTCAGTCTTCTCCAAGGAAGCCCATCCACACCACAGCTGGTCCCAAGCACTTCCCAATCCAGACTGGACCCCACCTTGAATGCTTCCTTTAGAAAAACAAACAACAAATTAATGAAAATAGGTTACAGACAAAAAGGGGAAACAAGTAAAATGGTAAAATATACCTCTGTCAGGGGCTTGAGGAAGGCCCAACCCCTACATTCTAGGGAAACCCCACCCACAGGTCAGGGAAGCCCATGCTTTCTCCCTTCATCCTGCACTGTTGCCCAAAATCATGGTGATCCCAAAACAAAGAAGGGGAGTGGAGCAGCCCAAGCCCTTCCTTGCCTGCAAAGCAAAGCAGCCATGACCAGGTTCTGGAGTCCCACCTGTGCTCCTGCCATGGGGGTTTGTTTGTGTCAGGCTGGCTGCCCCAGCCCCAGCCAGGGGCACGGTGGGTGGTGGGGGCTGTTGGCAGGACCAGGATCCCATTTCATTTCGTAACCACCCCAGCCCACGCCCCAGCCCTGCCAAAAACCAGCTGGGCAGCCACTGAAGAATCAGCTGCATCCACCCCAGCAAAGGGGAAACCTTTGGTTCCCGGCCAATGCACAAATCTGGGAGCATTCCCCTGGGTCTGGACTTACCTGAAAATTCTCTGTGGAGCCTGGCTTTCAAGAAGGTGCCAGAATCAAAGTCCATCATCGCCAGCTGCCACTGGCCAGGTCGAGGAAGAGGTTGTCATCCTTGCTGTTGTCCTCCATGTCTCCAGCAGCAGCAGCAGCAGCCCCACCTGGTACAGCTTCTCCAGGGGCTCCCTCTGCCCTGGGGTGACACCAGGCTGTCAGGGTTCTGCCCAGAGCCCGGCTATCAGTGAACAAGAACAAGCAAAATCAGCTCAGATGGCGGCCACCAGTGCTGGGCAGAGCAGCTCAGCTCCAGCACAAGGGCTGCGTGTTCCCATTTGATGACCCCAGTGCAGTGACACAGGCAGGACAAAGAAGTCTGGGTTTCTTTGCTTCTGATTGCCAGGGTATGTGTGGAGCTGTAACTTACCAGGTCCCTGCATCACTGTGCCTGTGGCTCTCTCCCTTCTTCTATGGCAGATGAATATCTGCATCCAGGGATCACAGAACAGGTCTTCTAATGAGGGCCTGTCCAAGTAGTGCAGGGATAAACACCGCCTGATCAGAACTTGGCAATCTGGGGAGAGAAACCACAAACCACTGGTCAGTTGGAGAAGGCACCTGTCTACTTTGCCCCACTATTCCTGTGCCCAGGCCACACTGGATGTGCTCAGAGCTGGGCCTAAACTTTCCCATCAATTCTTTGTTTTGGAGGAGAACAGGAAAGCAGGACATGTGCCAGCTCCTCAGCAGCTGCCAGAGCGGGATGCTCATGAGCCCTCTCCTGTCTCCCAACACTGGTGTTCCCCCCGTGCCCAGAGATGAGGATCCACCTTGGGAGAGCCGTTGTGGCAGCGGGAGCTGGGCCCAGCTGATGTTCCAGCCCCTCCTGAAAGGGTGCTTCCCGCAGACCATCTCATGCAGCAGGATGCCCAGGGACCAGACGGTTGCTGCCTCGCCATGGTACCACCCAAAGTCGTTCCATTCCGGGAGGCTGTATGACAGTGTTCCTATGGAATATGGATAGAGCTCATCAGGGGGATGCTGCTGCTCCCAGAGCCTGGCCCCAGCATCCCTGGGCATGTGGGGGCTGCCCCAGTGGCACACAGGGTGACCCGCTGCCCTCTCACCAGCACCTGGGACTTGTGTACAAACCCAGGGTTGGAAAAGAAGCCACTGCTGCTGGAAGAGGGCAGCAGAAACCCTGGCAAGGCCCAACCATGACACGCAAAAGAAAATACCCACTCAGTGCTGGGGAAAAACCATACCTACATTCTTCCTGCTGGCATTGCCCAAAAAATATTATGAACCAAGGCAAACCAGGGAAGCACAGCAGTCCAAGCCCATTCTCACCTGCACACCAAACCAGCTGGTACACAGGTCCTGGCTCCCTCTCTCTGCTACACCCACCCACTGGGGATTCTGTTAGGCTGACTGCCTCAGCCCCAGCCCTAGTCCTGGGAAGAGTGGCGGGCAAAAGCTGCCAGCAAGGCTGGAAGATGGCTCCCCACCCAGCCCTGCTCAAAAGAAACTCAGCTGAAGACTCAGTGCTGTTACTGGCAGTAAAAGGGAGAATCCCTGCTGCCACACTTAGGTTGGGCCACGAGATGTTGGGCCAGGAGATGCCAGGACTGGGAGCCTGCCCCTGTGTGGGCTCACCTGCAAATTGAGTGTAGGCTGTCTCCTGAAGGTAGGTGTCACAGCCAAAGTCAATCAGTTTTGCCTGGCCAGGTCAACCAGGATGGTCTCTGATTTGATGTCTTGGTGTAGGACCCTGCAGCTGGTGCAGTGCCGCATGGCCGCCAGCACCTGCCGGAACAGCTCCCGCGCCTCTTCCTCGGACAGGAACCTCCGTGCCTGAATGAAATGCTGCAGGTCCTCACGCCACTCTGGGCGATCCAACACCATCACGATGTGGTTGGGGAGCTCAAGCCACTCCAGCAGCTGCACAGCACTGGGGAAGCCTGTGGACACCTTGTCCAGCAGCACAATCTCCAGAGGTGCGCTGGTGCCATTGGGCTGCGGGAGGAGAACGGTGCCGTCAGTGGGGCTGAGGCTGTGCCAGGGCTCAGGAAGACCTCAGCCAGCCCGGGATGCTCTGCACCCTCCGCTGGCCCCATGCCCACTCTCCCTCCAGACGTCCCCGTGGCTCCCACCCTGCCGGGACTCGGCTCATCCCCTCCCGGCACGCCCCGGCTTCTGCCGCTGGTCCCGTTTGTTATGAATGCACTAGAGAGAGAGATATAAGGAAAGGTTTTATTAATTACAGCAAGCCAGCAATAAGCAAAAGTCGGCGCCAGGCGACAGGGGAGAAGGTAAAAATTTCTTCTCCGCGAAACTGCCGCGCTTCCCGCTTCCGTGTTTCTCCTTTTATGTGCCTCGGCTTCCGGGTTACGTGTCCTTTCTCCGGCGTCTCTGCGCATGAGTCTCTAGTTATTAGGGGGTCGTTTTCTGCTCTCTGGTGGTCGTGGGATGAAAGCTCCAAGTCTTCCTCAAACTTACTCTGCTGACCTTTTCTCACTGTTTTCCCTTTAAGGCTTATCTTGTCCTGGCATTCCAGGAATCTCTGCTAGGCTGTTAATTATTATGCGAGCCTCAGCGATTTAGCGGCCTTCAACTTCCTCCCGACTTTACATACAAAGCACAATTTTGCAAAGCATCATATCATATCTATATATTTAGGCGAACAAAAGAGTTTCTGTCTATTACACGCTCACTCACCAGCTCGCCCCAGTGCTGAACACGGTTCCGTGGCACCTTTTTGATGGCCACCTGCAAGCCAAAGGGAACAGTGGGCTGAGTGCGCCGCCATCCATGTCCAGCCCCATCCTCCTCCTCTGCCCCCTC